AAATAAATTTAGTCAATGTTAATAAAACCTAATTGTCTAAGTTAATTTTAATTATTGCAAAATATATTAAAAGTTATTCCTAATTAAAACTAAATTAATTAAATTAATATTTATTAATAAAAAGTAAAATTTGGTTTTAATGAAGAAAAATATTTTTGTGGTTTTAATTTTATAAAGAAAAAAATGTGATTGGTTAGTTAATAATAAAAAATAATTAAACAAACAAATAAATAAAATAAATGTGAAATAGAAAGAATTAGAGGTTTGGGCCTGATTGGGGAGTCTGAATAGCAAATTCCATGGCCCAATTGTGTTGGACTGGCTGACTTTTTGTGATCCAGCGTGTGCACTTTGACTAGGCAGCATGGTGGACGTTCCATCTGGACCACCAGATCTGGCCTGGGGCCATCTGGCAAGTGATTGAGTGAGGGAGTATGATGTGCTGCAGCGCCTGATTTACATGTGATAACCTGAAGAGAAAAAATAACAATGCATATGGGGGGACCTGGGATTCGAACCCAGGTCCTGTTGATCATTGGATGTACACGCCCACCACTCAGCCACTTTGTTCTGTTTGTCAATATATTAGACAATTAAAATAATAAGGGAAAACGTGTTAATATGCCAGAAATAAAAAAAGTACGCGAATTGTTTGAATGGTCCAATCAGAGGGAGACACGCCATCGTCCCTGACCTTCAAACCCTGCAACTATACCTGCGGATTTAGATCCGCAGCTAAATGCGTAGGCTCACTCTAAAATCCATCCCAGTCCATGAAAATCAATTCCAAGCACATGGTTGAGTTCGTCTAGGCTTCCTGAACAAACCTATATCCTTCTTGAGTCTTGATTTCCCCTGAAAAAGAAAAAAAACCCAAAACACGAACGAAGAACCCTAGATATGTGGGTTCTTCATCTAGGCCAAAAAAATGCAATTGGCTAATGCAGAATGCTTGTAAATTGGACGAGGATCATGAATATGCTCGTATTTTGTGCAAAAGATGCAAGAAATAAGAGTTGCGAATTCAAGAGAAGGGCGGCTTTTTGAGATACTTACAGAGCTTTTGGGCGTGTATGGAGACTGGCTTTGGGTTGGTTCTACTTCAGTGATCCTCCAACAAGCGATTGGTGTTGAGTTTTGCCTCTGAAAATGCCTCTAAGTGTGATTTTGGTTTCACACTTTTTCACCTTTTTTCAAGTTTTGTTCTTGGTGTTCTTGGTGTTCTTGCAGTCTCTAGGTCTCAAATTCGTGTGCTTTGGCTTGTATATGTAATATGCAATGTATTAGGTCAACATTTGTGGATTGAATCTTTGCACATCATGGCTATGGGATTTGATTTGATCCACCATTGAAAGGTTGTCTATTTTGTCAAAAATCCAATCTTTTTGCACATAGAATGCTTGATATGAATTTGATACACTTGATGATGATGATTCAATCCTAAAATAGCCAAAAAGAGATCAAATAATCAATGTTTGGATTTTATTGGATTTAATTTGATTAAAAATGAAATAATTCATTAAAAAATAAAATAAAATAATAAAATAGATAAATGGACACAAGTCTGAAGCTAGGACACGTGTGCAATGTGGCAAGATCAAATCAAGTGTAAAATAATGGGCCCATTTGACAAAATTTGAAGTTTTGGGGATAGTTGACTTTTGGCAATTTTGCAAAAATGCCCAACTTCAACAATGCATAACTTCTTCAATTTTGCACTTTTGGAGGTGTTTGGACTTTTTAGAAAGCTTGAGATGTCATATAACCAACCCTTTTGGTCTCATCTCATTTTGATATTCCATGCTCAAGTTATAAGCTTTGGAAAAAAAAGGTGTTTTTGTTGAGTTTCAAAAATGACCTATAATGTCCAAATTTGTAACTTCTTGTGAGTGCATTTTTTGATCTTGGGGTGTGAATATGGATTGTAGGAAATTTCATCCTCTTCAAAATGAGATTTTGATGGGTCATTTCTCATAAAGTATGAGAAAGTTATGCTTGGTCAAAGTTGAGTTGGCTTTTCCTGCAAAACCCTAATTTAGCAACTTTTGAGTCTTGGTGAATTTTGAGCAATCCTTGATGAATCATGATCAACCCTTGATCAAATGATTAAATATCCTTCAAAATGAGAATGTTGACAAAAAATCTTGAGGTTTGACTGTATTTGGGTCACAGTTGACTTTTGCCCTAGCACAGTCGATTTTTGGACCATTTGAGCAATTGACTGAGCAAACTTCCTCTGCAAGGCTTGAAACTTGACATGGATGAACTTGAGAACATATTAGGACATTGGGGAGAACTTGAGGTCATTTGGACTCAAGGATCTTGATGCAACACAAAACCCTAATTTGGGATTGACTACCTTAGGAGACGACTTGTCTGACCCACTCTTGAGCAATCTTGATCCACTTGGAGATTTTTCTTGCAATGCTTTGAGAAATATGAGAGGGCAAATTTTGAGGTACAACAACAATTAACATAAATTAATAAAGCAAGTTTTATATAACGCCATGGACGACAAATATACATAAGTTCAGAGTAAATACATGTACAAACTCAACACATAAAGAATACACAAAAAAGAAGAGAAATGAACCATAAATCTACCGGTTTGTCAATGCCGATTGATGAGTAATCCATCCCGAATCATCCATATGCAAGCTTCAATGTTATTTTCTAAGATAATCCTATCAAAGAATGAAGTTTGATGGTTTTGGATATTTTTGACCCCAATCCATAAACATTTGTTGCCCGAACTACGAAGCTCTGATTTTCTTATTGCACCATGAGGATACGTAGGCACAAGACGCAATGTCTTGGCAAGCACAATAATAAAAACCAAAAATATTTTCACCTTCTTTCTTTATCCTTTCTCGATTAATAAGTAGAAGAACGCAAACTTTCATGCTTAACACTCATTCATAAAAACTAACTAAATGGATATTATTGAGTATGATGGAAGTGAGAGATGCTAATACTTTTTCCTTGCATAATCGACTCCCGAATCGGCTCTTGATTGTGACGACCATTTCTTTTCTCTCGTAGGTTTTATTCGATATTTTCTCTTTTCTTTTAAAATAAATAAATATCGATAACAACTCTATTATATTTCAAGCGTACGATATATTCGAATATTTTTTGCACCGCAACACATAAATACATTGAAAAATAAATAAAATTATTTTCACAAATAACACAAATAATAATGGAATCATTACCAAATTGCACATAAAAATGCCCAATTTTTTTTTTTTTTTTCATTTTAAAACGATAGCAACATACCTATACAAATGTGAATGAGAAATGTGAATGTTATAAATGATATCTGTCAATTACAAATTTATCCTTTTTAATGTGTAAATATTTGAAACACTTAAAGGACATTGTAGGAACTTTGGTTGCAACATTGAAGTCTAAGCCATAATGAGAAATGATAGGTAGGAGATTCAATCCGCCATTCACCACTTGTAACTCCATCTCCATTCACCTACCTACCACCACCTCCATTTCTATATATCACAATTCACAACACAAGAAATTGCATTGCAATTAACTTACCATCCAATGACAACACCGTCGGTAACCGCTCTGAAGATCGAGAACTACCAATTCCCTCCCACCGTCAAACCACCAGGATCCGACAACAACTTCTTCCTCGCCGGTGCAGGAGACAGAGGTCTTCAGATTCAAGACAAATTCGTCAAGTTCACCGCTATTGCTGTTTATTTGCAGACTATTGCTGTTCCGTTCCTCGCCGACAAATGGAAGGGGAAGGATGCTCATGAGTTGACGGAAACTGTTCCCTTCTTCAGGGACATCGTTACGGGTACATTTTGTTGGAATAATATAGCAAGTGTGAGTAATTGGAAAGTAGTCTTGAATAGAAATGTGGAGACTTAAGCATAATAGGTGGGAGAATCCACTCACCTATCACCTTAAAGTTTTAAGTGGATACTGTGTCTTTTATAAAGGTGTTTATTCTTCCACTATGTATCAATGCGCATATATAAGTTAGAAAACTCACTTACCTATTAACTTAAGGTGTACTGCTACTCCTAGTATTTTCCGCAACACATTTACCTTCTCGCTAACCTGTTTGGATTGGTTTAGGGTTTACATTTAGCCTTAATTGTTAGCAAACTCAGAAAGTCTTATTTGTTTCAGGTCCTTTCGAGAAGTTTATGCAGGTGACAATGATCTTGCCGTTGACAGGGCAACAATACTCCGAGAAAGTTTCAGAAAACTGTGTCGCCATTTGGAAGTCTCTCGGAATTTACACCGAAGAAGAAGGCAAAGCAATTGACAAGTTTGTTTCTATTTTCAAAGACGAAACATTCCCACCAGGCTCCTCTATTCTCTTCACAGTATCACCCAAAGAATCAGGATCATTATCGGTTAGTACCGCCTAAAACTAGACTCAAATTCATTGCATGTTCTGCATAATTCCTTATCGTTTTCTAATTCGAAACAGATAAGTTTCTCTAAAGATGGATCAATTCCAGAGGCTGAGTCTGCAGTTATAGAGAATAAACTACTTTCACATGCCGTGCTTGAGTCGATGATAGGCGCGCACGGTGTCTCCCCTGCAGCAAAACACAGTCTGGCTGCCAGATTATCTGAGTTATTCAAAGAAGCTGGCGATGCTAAAAACTGATTATATCACTAAACAGAAGATAAAAGTCTGTTCTGCAATAAAGACCAAGCGCAAAATTTATCTTAAGTCCACTTTTATATCACCTCTTGAAGACTTTTAGGGTTCTAATCAAGAATGTATTGTATTTGTTTGAAGCTATATAATATTAGTTAAAAAAATTAAGGTAAGAAATGGAACATTCTATCATTTTATTAAGCCTTTTATTTCAAATAATGGCATAAAAGTACACAAAATGCAGAGACAAGACAATTTATTTAAAAAGAAAATAACATTAAACCTATGACACATAGATGACACATGGATTATTCAAAGATTATGAACTTTGTATATAGACAACTGCTAACAATTCTCAGTGTTCAATTTTGAAGTTGTCATTCTGCATAAACTCATACAACCTTGTAGCCAAAACTCTCTTTCAATGAAGGCGAAACCGGAATTTCGCCGATCATAGTCTCCAACACCGCCTCCGAAACCGGCTTATTGTGAATAATTGTATGCTCATGTTCAGGTATTGTCTCATCTTTGGAGAAACTAAGCTGTGATCAATAATGTAAGGTATTAAAATGTGTTTGATTGAAAGAATTAAAAGTAAATAAATATTAGTGATTAATTTTGTTATACTAACAGCTAATGTTCCATTTGGTGTTTGTCTGTAAAAAGCAGCAGTCCTTGGTGGAAAATTTTGATCCTTGAAAGCTTGTTTTAATTCTTGAATGGCTTTTTCTTCTTCTTCACCATATAATCCATCAGATTTTATATGGGCTATGCAGTTTTCTGAGACTTTACTCACATATTTTGGACCTGATAGTGTTTTCAGCTTTACACTTCGAATCAGTTTCTCAAAGGGACCTGATTAAACAAACTCATAACAATTAAGTCAGTATAGGAGATGAATATATTCATTTATATAAATGCTAACTTTAATTAAATATGATAAAAAATAACTATTCATTTAGTAGTTGCTGTCAAAAGGAAGAAGAAAAATATTTTTTTTTAGGCTTATCACCACGGTATAGTTCAGTTCGAGATCAGTTTTAGCATCAAGTGATTCCAGCCCTCTTTTGATCGCAGCTGCGGGAGATCGAACTGTAGTTCTACCTACCAAGTCCAGCGCTAATTACTAGTGGACCAACTAACGATTGGTTAAAATGCGTTATATCTTTGTTTTCACCTTTGTGATATCTAATTTGAACTAAATGCGTTAATTTGAACTAAATGCGTTAATTTGAACTAAAATTTATAACTTTTGAATTTAAACATGATTTTTATACTAAATTTTAAATTTTACTTATTTTTGCAATATTTTATTAAAATATAAATCACTTTATTTTTTGTGATTTTCTTGACAGATCTACATGAGGAGAGATTGACTCTTAGGTCATCAAATGGTT